CGTGAAGGGAGGGCTAGGAATGGGGAAAAAACAAGAACCAAGATGCATCATGTAAAGGTACAATTCCCCATGAGAAATGTAATTGTGTTATATACCTAAAATGTACCAATAAAAGAATTTAACAAAAAAAAATTATCCTTCTCATGGCTTTTGCTTTTTGTGAAATTCTCCCCTTTGCATTTAATTTCTTGTTGTGTTGATGGATTCATTCCACTGGGCTTCCTGGGGTTGTAATTCTTGCTGTCTTTTCCTAGGATATTATCTAATATTTTTTGTAGTGCTGGTTTCATATTCATGAACTTCCTCATGTGCTCTTTGTTATGAAATTATCTTATTACTCCATCCACTTTTAAAGATAGTTTTGCAGGGTACACTAACCTGGGTTGGAAGTTGTTTACCTTTAGGGCTTGAAATATGTCACTCCAAGCTCTTCTTGCCTCAAGGGTTTGTATTGAGAACTCTGCTATGATTCTGATGACCTTCCCTTTGTATGTGATTTGTTTCTTTTCTCTATGTGCTTATAGAATTTTATTCTTTTGTTTGGTTTCTGGAATCTTAACTATTTTATGCCTATCTGTAGTTTTTTTTTTAATCATGGCTAATTGGAGTCCTGTATGCCTCACTTATCTATATGTCAAGTGCTTTTCCCCTACTTGGGAAGTTTTCTGCCATTACTTCTGTGAAGAGATTTTTATCTCATCTGCACACTCTCCTATCTCTTCTTTGACTCTGATCAGTCTTATGTTATTCTCCTTTGCATACCAGCTGCTACATTGATTTCTCATGGTCCCTTACTATTTTTCAGAAATTTTTCTTTTGTTGGTCACTAATTTCAATCCTATCTTCTATATCTGAAATTCTGTCCTCACATTGGCTCATTCTGCTGTGTAAACTTTGCATGGAGTTTTTAATCTCCTGGAAATCTGTTTGCATCTCTTTATGGATTCCATTTGTTTTCTATACTGGGATTCCATCATGTGCCTTAGCTCCTCTATTTTTTTTATCTGTGTCTGCTCTAGATTTATTAATCATGTCTTGCACTATGGGCACAATCTCTGTTGTTGTCTGAGAAATTATTTCTGATTTTATTTTTTCCACCTCTTTTGTTGCCAGTTCAGGGAATCCAGGTGGTTGAATATCAGATTATTCCATCTCATTGCCCTTTGGGGTTGCCTTAGGTGAGCTGGAAGACTGGTTTTGAGACTTGTTTACGTGTCTTCTCATTTCAACAGATGCAGCCTTCTGCGCCTGTGTTGAGGCAACTTTTTACTCACCCAGTGGACTTCAATTATCAGCAAACCACTGAGTAGCCTTTTTCTGCTCCTCACCAGTGTCCCTATTCCTGGATTCAGAATGGTGGCCTTCTTGATCCCTGAGCTGACCTGTTGTCTGGGAAGGCTACTGGCTGGTGCCTGTGCACACTTGGGATAGTATCTAGGTGTGCCTCTGGCTAGGGCCTGCCCCCATACATAGATGTCTGGGAGGGCCTTCGCCTGGGGGTTTTGCACCCCAGTCCCTTGTGTCTGAGCAGGCTTCTGGGTAGGGTCTCCATGCACTTACTGATGGTATTGGTGTAGCCTCTGGCTGTTGCTTGTGCACCTCTGCAGCTCTTTTCCAGGTGAGCCCTTGGCTTGTGCCTGTGTGCCCAAGTGGCTGGGGTCAGGGCAGAGCCCTGGCTGGACCTGCCTGAAGCTGTGCTGCTCTAGTCCACACTGCTCCTGGCTGAGATCTGTGTGCACTTACTGAAGGTATCACCCCGGGCCTCTGGCTGATGATTGTGTACCTGTGCAGCTCTTTTCTGGACAGAGCTTTAGCTTGGGCCTGTGTTCCCAAGTGGCCAGGGTTGGGGTGAGGCCTTGGCTAGACCTGCCTGAAGCCTCGATGCTCTGGTCCACACCAATGCTTGTTGAGATCTGCTCTCACTTATCGATGGTTTGGGGAAAGGCCTCTGGCTGATGCTTGTGTGCCTGTGCAACTCTTTTCCAGCTGGAGCTTTGGCTTGTGCCCAAGTAGCTGGGGTCAGGGCGGTCCCTGGCTGGATCTGAAATTCTATAAAGATAGTGCTGAACTGTATATAAATCACTTTGGAGAGTGTCAACATCTTAACAATATTGTTTTAAAATCCACATACAGGATGTCTTTGTATTTATTTAAATCTTCTTTAATATTCTCACTATATTTTGTTTCCAGTGCACAGATCTTTACCTTCCTTGGTTAAACTTGTTTCTGTGTATATTTTATGCTGTAGTTGCTCTTCTAAATGGCACAACTTTCTAATTTCTTTTCACACCATTCTAGAAATGCAATTGATTTTGCAGTTCCAGTTTGTAACCTACAACTGCTGAACTCATTTATTAACATAGATGGCTTTCCTGTAGATTTTTGGGATTTTTATAGAGAGAGGACCATGTCATTTAAAATAGGGATAGTTTTACGTCTTTTTCTTTTTCAGTTTAGATGCCTTTTATATATTTTCCTTATTTACTTATTCTGAATACAACTTTTAGTACAATGTTGTATAGCAGTGATGATCTTAGGGAGGTATCTTTCAGTTTTTCTCCACTGCATATACATTAGCTATAGGTTTATCGTAAGCACAATTTATTGTATTGAGGAAGTTTCTATTTCTAGTTTGTTGAATGCTTTTTATTTTGTAAGAATGTTGAATTTTATCAAATGGCTTTTCTTTTATTGAAAAATAGCTTTTCTGTCTCTCTCTTCCTCTCTGTTTCTCTCTCTCTGTGTGTGTGTGTGTGTGTGTGTGTGTGTGTGTGTCTCTATTTTGTACTACTGGGAATCAAACCCAGGACATTGGCACTGAGCTGCATTCCCAGCCCTTTATTAGTTATTATTATTCTTTACTTTGAGACAAGATCCCTTAAAGTTCCTAAGTTACCCAAGTGGAGCTTGAATTTGTGATCCTTCTGCTTCAGCCTCCCAGAGTGCTGGGAATACAGACATGTACTGCCAGCACAACCAGATGATTTTTTATCATTCTGCTAATGTAGTTTACCACATATATTAACATCATTATGTTGAACCACACTTGTATGTTTTTGGATCTGTTTTACTGGTATTTTATTGAGGATTTTTTAATCAATATTCAATATTTTGATATGAAATTTTCTTTTCTTGTAATGTCTTCATTTGGTCTTGATATTTAGGTAATACTAACCTTATAGTGATATTAGGAAATGTTTCATCATCTTCTGTTCTCTGGAAGTGTTTGGAATAGATCATTGTAAGTGTTTGGTAGAATTTACCAGGGACTATGTCTGGTCCTGGAATTTTCCTACTTGGGAGGTGTTTGATTACTGATTATCTCTTGACTTACTATGGGGCTTTTTATTTTCTATTTTTTAATCAATTTTGATAATTTGTATGTTCCTGTAAATTTATCCATCATGCCTAGGTTATCCAAGTTCAATGTCAAGGCTGTGTTAGGTCTTTCTCTGGGTTCATTTCTGTGAGTTTATTTTTTCAATTGTTTCTGATTTGTTCATTTTTTTTTCTCCCCAGATGAACTCTTAATCTTCCTCTCAAATGCTGCTCCAACCCATTCCAGTTGATAAAAACCCCAGGCCAACACGGAATCATTCTGGACCTCATGTTTTCTTCCACCATCCACATTTTATACATCAGCGATTTTTTGTTCTACTTTTAAAATACATCCAATCTGCTTTCTATCATACACGCAATAGTTTCTTTCCCTGATTCAGGCCACCATCCACTCAAACCTCAATAACTGAAATAATTTCCTACTATTACTTTGAAAGCATCCATAATAATTCTTTTACAGTATAACTCAATCATATTATTCCTCTTCTATTCTCTATAAAACCTCACAGTGCCAGGTCTATTTCTATCTTTCCAACTTCATCTATCATTTATACTCAGAATTATTCCACTCAATCATACTGCCTGCCTCCTTGCTGCTCCCAAAACAAGTCAAGCTCATTCTACCTTAGAGAATTTGTACTGGTTCTTCACTCTGCCTGAGCACTTTTCTCCCAGATAGCTAAATGTCTAACTCCTTTATGTCTCTTGAGTTTTTATTCATAATTTTTTTCTCAATAAATCCTATCCTGATATTTTTTAGAATGGGAGCCTGGCCTCCCACGACTCATGGTACTCCCAATTCCCTTACTCCTATACTTTTTGTTTTGTTTCATAGTCCCTACTACATTCTAACATAACACATATAATGTAATTTACATTTGTTGTTCATTACCTTTTGCTGTGACTACAATGTTATTTACATAAGAAGAAAGAATTTTGATGAGATTAGGCCATTTCTCAAGCATGTGAAAGAGAATTTGGGTTCATATTAAGGACGCAATAACTATTTGATAAGAATGAATAAATTATTCTATAACTGATGGACTATTTTTGCAATAAGTTGCTGTTGCATTTTAAAATTATTCATCTTAATTCCTTTTTCATTCCCCTTTCCTCTCCACCCTTTCTCCTCCATCAACCTCTCGATCCCTTTCCTTTTTTGGTACATGTTTGCAGTATGTAATAGTCACATTCCTTGTGTGGAATTGGTATATATGCATAACACATTTTAATGCCTTTTTAATCCCTACCCCTCCCATTCTTCCTCTCCCCCAGGGGAAGGATAGGAAATGCAAAAAGGAAGAAACATTTTCTTTTAAACTTCAATTCTATGAACAAGAGATTTGATATTTAATAAAACTTTAGGCTTGCTCAAAGTAATTTCAAGTCAAAGTATAAAATATGTTCAACTGCAACACAATTCACAATATAGACATTAATAATTTCCATTGATTTATGAAGACAGGGTAATTGAATAGATTCAGCATAACAATAAAATAACTTTATGACATTCTTAAAAGTTATGGAAGAGAGTGTAATTAATGTGTAGAGTTATAGGAATTTATGAAAGAGATATGTCTCCAAAATAAGATAGATGGCTAATAGTTTTTTCAACATGTTAAAGTATTGTACGTCTTAGTCAGTTTTTTGTTGCTGAGATATAATACCCAATACTCACACCAAGATAGGAGAGGTTTATTTTGGCTCATGTTCATAGTCCATGTTTGGGTGGCTCCAAGGCAAGATGGCATGCAGAGGGGCACAGCACAGGAGAAGCTGCTCACTTCATGGTAGCTACAAAGTAGAGAGTAAGGGGAAGCACCTAGAAGGGAGAGACACCCTTCCAGATTACACCTACAGTAGTTACCTGCTTCTTGTGACCATGCCCTACCTCCCAACACCAAAGCAGCTGAAGGGCCCTGAAATCAAATCACCTTCCATAAGTCCTGCTCCTCAGCACATCAGGATTTGAGGAGACAGGCAGATACAAACTATAACAAGATGCTAGTGTTATCTTCAGATTAAACCCTTTGGAGAGGAATCAATCAGAAATAAAATTTATAAGATTAATTACAGTATACAAAGTATATAGCCATTGAACTACACACAGTTTATCAGGATCAAGATGTCAATAGTATCAGGATGTGTAAGACTTTAGAAACCCAAGATGGAGCAGACTTGGGTGTCTAAGATTAGAATTAGATCTGAAGCTAAAATGAGTTACCCTATAGGTACACCCTAGGAGTGTCAGTGCAAATCCCAAATTCATTTCTGAAATCAGAAGATCAATTAAGGAGACAAAGACACCTGACTCTAGGATTGAATACACTCATCCAAAAGAAAGAAGGACAGGGCCTGGATGCAGATCCAAGTAGTGAACAGTAGAGTGGTAGAGATTAAACAGTGATCCACTTCAAGCAATGAGAAATTAGTTGTAGAATGACAGGCATATAAAGGCATTAATTTGACTGGAGGATTCGCAAGGAGGGAGGAAGCAGTTCCTGAAAAATAGTAGCAAGGAGTTGGATCTCCAGTTTACTAGGAATTTATGATCCAAAAAAGAAAAACGAATTTGAAGCTTCAGAGAACAACAGAAATAAAAAAGTGCAGTGGAAAATTCTGCCAAGATCAGATCATTTTTGATGGTGAACCAATAAAAATCTATGTTTTCGTTTTCTATAGAGTCCCCTGGACTGGAGGAATCATTGTTTCCCATTGGGAAAGAAAGAAATGAGTCGCACAATGAAGTGCCAATCAAGAGGCTCAACAGAGGTTAAAGGTTGGCAGGATTGCAAACAGCTTAAGGCCCAGATGGTTTCTTGGGATACCAACAAAATCTTCAAAAACTAGATAATCCTGTTGCCACATAGATGCTGTGGTAGAATATAAAAACATAGGAAAACTTCAGAGTGAATTTTTTTCTAAAAACAAAACTTTGATACCTAACATATCACATAGCACAAAATAAAATTACAATCTGACCACAGTGAAAAATATAGGTCTAAGGATTCCAAATAAAATAATAACAAACAACAACCAACTACATATTTTTTAAATATACCTCGTGATATGTATTAGTTTTCTAATGTATTAGTTTTCCAGTTACCACAACTTAGTGGCTTAAAACAACATAAATTTATCACCTTACACTTCTGGATGTCATGCTCCAAGATGAGTCTGACTGAGCTGGGTTCCTTCTAGAGCTCTAGGGCACAATCTGTTCTCTGCTTTTCCCAGTTTCTAAAGGCTGTCTGGATCCCTGAGCTCAAGGCCTGTTCTCCATCTTTAAAACAAGCAATGTTGCATCTATTTCTATCTTCATACCTTTTCTCGCTTATTTTGATCTTCCAGCCTTCCTCCTTCCTCACATGAATAATCCAAGATAATATCCTTATCTTAAAATCTTTAACTTAATCATATCTGTGAAGACATTTGCCACATAGCGTAATATACTCAGAACTTCAGGGAATAAGGATATAGGGATCTTGGGAAATTATTCATTCTATCATATGAGCCAATTGAGATTTATTTTAGGATTGAAAAGACAATTCAATATTAGAAAAATCATTGTTATTTACCATACTAATAGATATTGAAAAAATATCACATATAGCAATCTTCATAAATGCAGAAAACAAACATGTATTAGAATATAGCTACCAGGATCACATCATACTTGATGGTAAACCAGCAAAACTCTGTCAACTACATAGGTGATATTCTCCCCAAAATGTTTTAACTGAGTCTAGTCGTAAGATTTGCATCCAAGTGGTCCAAAATTAGGTACATTCTATAGTACACATAAGCTGAACCACTAAGAGATATCAGAGTCATAAAAGATCCGAAAGCACAAAACAGGCAGTGACCTTTTTTCAAATCAAGGGAGACCAAAGAGCCATATTACCAACATGTAATGCATTTGCTTTACCTGGATCTTTTTTATATCCTAATCTAAAGGTATTCTAAATGCTTCAAACATTCTCATAACATAATTTAAAGGTTCCTAATGATTTCTTTAAAATGATTAAATTGAGATAAGGTTCCTATCTCAACATATACATTTTTGTTATATATATTGGTATATATATATATATATATATATATATATATATTCCCTTGGATATGTATGTAGAAGTAGAATTGCCGAGTTATATAATAAAGCTATATCTAAATTTTTGAAAAACTGTCAAACTCCCTTCCATAGTGATTGCATCATTCTGTATTCCCTCCAGCAATGTGTGCGGTCTCTAGTTTTTCTATATCCCACCAACATGCATTCATTATCATCATCTTAGTGGCTATTTGGTTCTAGCCATTTCTGTGGGCATAGACTGGTATCTTAATATGATTTTGATATGAATTTCCCTAGTGATGATGTTGCACATCTTTTCATCTGCTTATTGGCCATTTGAGGATCTTTTGTGAAAAATGTCTATTTAAACATTTTCCCATTTCTAATTGGGTGGGTCGATTTTAGGTTATTTGTATACTCTAAGTGTACTATAATTCATCTCATTCCTGCTGCTTTCTACAAATATGATGATAAATAAATTACATAAATTGTTGGTTCCTTTGTTTCCCCATAAATCAAAATGAGATCCTATTACTAACATCGTAGAATCTGTGTGAGGGTTAAGTACATAAAAAACTTTCATCACAGTGATTGAAGCATAGCAAGTGTTTGGGAAATGAGACTCAAATCTAAAAGAATTCATTAATGGTACAAAAGAACCATGGTACAATTAATCTCCTGCAAGTTGGGGATATGAGATGCCATGTACAGAAGTAAAGGGTCATAATAGTTATACTTAAAGTCCTGCCGATAGGAGTTACAAAGTAGTTTATACCAGGATATTATTAAATATTCCCAGAAGACTCATAAGGTTATGCTATAATTACATAAATAACAATAAAAAGTACATTTCTGTAACTAGACAGAAAGATTTACAAAAGGAAGGGTATTATAAAATAAGACATGTTTAAATAGTACTGAAAACAATTCTTTGGCATGCATTAGTATATAATTTTTGTACATTTTTATATGTATTTTATATGGTTTGGTGAGCCAACCAAAAAATTAAACAAGGCTTCAGCAAAATAAAACCATTCTCTCCATTAAGAAATAAAATATTTTGAGATATTTTTTACTTCTTAAAGCAGGAAATGATTTGGAAGCCAAGGCCTTTATCTTTTGTGAAAGGATTAAACCAATCCTGCAAATGGATAGCAGAGGCACTGCCTTTGTTGCTCATAGAGCATGGGTAAGTTGATGGATTGCCTATAAGTCTCTGTTCTAGTGTTATGTTCCATGGCAAAAGGATTCAGTCTTGCTAAGCAAGATTGACTAAAGTAGCTTCATTGATTGGTATGCTGAGAAATAGCCCACAGAAGGGAGATGGTTACATGTTCCTTTTCAAACATTTTTGGAACAGAGAGCACTACCTAGTGAGAGAACTCAGATCTCACAGATCAAAACTAGGAAAGCAAAAATAGGAATTTCTCAACAAAAAACAAATGACAGCATTTTTGAGACATTACTGGACTTCAGTAAGAATTATAAGGCCATTTCATTATCAGACCATTTCATTTCATATCATTACATTTTAACCTTATTGGTTTTACATATAAAATTTTAAAAATCATTGTATAAGGAATAATACTGTCTCAAAGTAAGGGAGGAAATAAGACTGACAAGTTTAGAGCATGCTCATACCCTAATTTTCCTTCATTCTCACCTTTTCCTCACCCCTATACTCAAACAAAAGAGCCATGAGGTATATTTTATAACATAGATGCTGACATGCTTCCATCTGGTGAACCTCATTATAACACAGAGGGAAGAACCCTGGAGGACAAGATTATGATACTGCACAGATCAAATCAGATTTGTCTACTATTAACTGTAGACAGTGAAAATAAGATGTGGCTGAATCAGTCTCTAGCTTAGATACAAATTATGGACTTCCTCCATTGAAAGGAAGAAAAACATAATTATGTTCATTTGCCAGATTGAAAGATGAGGTACAAGAAAATTAAATGCCTGATCTAGTGCTGTAATGTGAATCAGTGTGATCTCTTAGACCTTCCAAAATTCTTTTTAATATATCATGCTCTGTTTTTTAAAAATGTATTATCTGCAGAGAGGTAAATTGTTTTAAAAACTTGGTTAGAAAAAGGAGAATTCAAAGCTAAGTGTGTGTTGTGTGTTCTTTCCACTCTGATATCCCTTGATGTTAGTATGTTAGACATATCAATGAATTAAAAATACTTCTAGCTCTGA